TTTTATGATGTCAGCAACTTTGATTAGAAGGCTAAGCATATTTTTATTTATTTGTGCGTTTTAGGGAGGTGATTATTTTAGATTCAGGTTTGATAAAATTTGGTAAGCAAATGAGGGAAATGTCGCAACGATTGCAAACAAATATTACGGCTTTGGAAAGGCATAATGCTCTATTACAATATTATTCCCAGTCTAGCTATGCGAGAATGAAGGCAGTACGGTGGGTAAATAGTAAACTTATATTTTTAAAGAAAATAAAATATTAATAATAAAAATATAAATAAAATAAAATAAATAATTTCTTTTAATTAATTTAATATTGGTATATTACAGCAATTACGTTACAAATTTATTTGAAAATAAAAAAAAATGTATTTTGTATGGTCATCATCAAATTATTTTGGATGCTGTTTGCGAAGCTGCTGAATCTGTAGGCATAGCGTAAGTTTTTATTAATAAGATGTAGAGAATCATTTGACTAGTTTAATTTAACGAATGACTGTGTTAATTCTTTTTATAATTATGTTCGTGATGAATTTTATTGTTGAATTTTTAATATTAAGATTATATTGAAAAGCAGGATCAAAACGTATGTTTATTTTTTTTAATAAAATATATATGTTCTTACATTAACAATTTGTGTTAACTCTGAAAAGCTTCTTTTAATTTATAATTTATTATTTCATTAAAGTCTAAATTGAGTAGTTATCCATTAGTTTTTCTGTTTAAGTTTTTATAATTATCGCCAGTATATTATATATTGCAATTATGACAATTTCCAGGTATATAAGAATCGATGGCAAAACTAGTTCAGAACAGAGGCAACTTCTGATCGACAAGTTTCAAGAATGTGATGAATGTTTAGCAGCGATTCTGTCAATCACTGCTGTGAACGCAGGTGTTACATTAACGGCCGCAAATCTCGTAGTCTTCACCGAATTATTTTGGAACCCCGGTGTAATTAATGTTTACCAAAAAAAGAAAATCTTAATAAAGTATATATAAAATTCATCTCACGTTAACGTATGAAATCATTTTCAGATCTTGTCTCAAGCGGAAGACAGAGTGCATAGAATCGGGCAAAACAATACTGTCACAATCCAATACTTGATAGCGCAAAACACTGCGGATGATTATATATGGCCGTTGCTTAACAAAAAAAAGGACATTCTAAATGCAGTCGGTCTCAAACAGGATCTCTCAATAAATAACATCGACATCGCAATACAAAATAGCAAGCAACAAGACTTGACTTCTTTCTTGAATATTTCTGCATCTTCTGGATCACAGTTGCAGCTTGATATGGAGATTTCTCCAGCAATTCCAGAAGTGTCTCCTTCAAATATTAAAGAATTACTCGAAGTCGATGATGAATGTTTTGACTCTTGTGATTGGGATAATATGTGAAAGGACAATAATTTAATAGTTTATTCTCTTTTCAAAGACATATTTTTTGTATGAAAAAAAATAAAAGATTCTGTGTTTTCATCTCGGATTCTTTTTTTTATTTTATTTTATTTTTTGTATTACTTTCTCAGGTGAAATTTCACCGAGACTGAATAGATCAAGTCTGTCCTGTTTTAAGGATTAAATCAAATAAGTAAATTTTTGGAAAAGGAGAGTGATATGAATTACGAGATACTGTAATAATGTATAAGAATATTATAGTCTGTTTTATCGAGTAATTTTACAACCGGCTGCGAATGATTACGAACCTATGGTAACGTTCAGCAGATGGCAGCTTTCACGCAACGAGGTTCAACGAGGATTCGGCAGCACGCGTGAATTTTGGTTAATGTTGTTTATAACAAAGTGAATGACAATGTCTCTTTTCAACGTGCGGCAATTCTTTGGCACGTTGTATCAGCGTTACATGTTCTCATTACCAGCAATACACTTATCTCGCACGCAAAAGGTAAGAGCGAAATCGGCGACTTCTCAAGGTTAGAATAAATATTTTCACTATTTGCACTTGATCTCATTATTGTTCATTACATAATAATGCAAAAAAATTTTAAGGTCAAAGTAACAATTGCACGGGGATTTTATTATTAAAATTAAATTTAAATTTGGTGGCATGAGTATAAGTCTATTAGTTGTATATGTTTCTTTCAGATTTTTATTATCTGCTTCACTAGCGGTTCAATATTACTGGGAGGACTGGCACAATTTTTAAAGAGACGACGAAGGCACCCTATTCCACCTTCCAGAAGGCATTACAGAGACTACAAAACAAGATTAGGCAATATTAAGAATGCTAATTTTGGTAATACTATTGATATGCTGTCATGTTTACATAAATCAATTCAATTATGAAGTTAAATGCAATGTAAAACGAATATTTATTAATGATTTTTATTAATGATTATATAATAAAGCAAAATGTTTTTTGTTACATCAAACATCTAGATGTATTGTCACAAGCATCTTGGGCAAGAAGAAGTGAAGCCAGCACTAGAAGTCATATTAGTGATCGTGCATCACTCATCTCCTCTGTGCCAGGGGGTCCAGACAATAATGAAAAACTTACTCCACAACAATATGGTGTTCTTGGTAAGTTTTTGATGAAATTTATCATTAATAATTCATATATACTTTACATTAAAAAATAGCTGAAATATAATCAATGATATAAAGGCTGCATTTCACTCACAATGCTCATTTCATCCTTTATCAAATGTTAAATAAGGACAAACGATGCTCACAAGTGTTGCGTTAAGTGGAATGCAGTCCAAGTCTATTGGGAAATTATATTCGATTTATATTTAAAAATATTTTCGTATACTTCTTGATTTTTTAAATAAAAATTTAGGATATATATAATCCAGAAATATAGAAATTTCAGTAGATTTTGTTGACCATATCATGTGCTCTTATCTTTCTTTAATATTGATTGATTTTCTTATGCGATAATCTTGATTTTTCTAAATCAAAATACAAAGTTTCCTGCGATCTTGATTATATAATCTTATTGGAGATTCTGAGAAATGTAGATATTGCCAGGAATTCTTTTATATGTACATAGCGTTTATATTTACATGATAATGTACAATACAGCAGCATTATTCACAAATAATACATCTGAGTGTTGAGAATATAGATATTTTTAGAACGATTCTTGGCTTTGCCAAAGTCGAGTTTTTTTTTTTTTTTTTTAAGGATTTATTTACGTCTCTACCGGCATATAGGGTGAATTGTCAAGAAGTTAATTTGTGATCTTGGGTTGTACGAACAGCTTCCTTTTTCGAACTCTATACTAAAATTGCGCCGCCCACTCGTTAATTATGTTTCGTTCATTCAACTAGGAATATCGAAGAAATATCATAGGTACCACAAATTTTATTTGCGTTTGTCTTCTATCATTGCCTTTCTCTGACTTCCTCGCAAGTCTTTCGATCTCACAACGAATTATTGCTTTCTTTCACAATCAACGAATTGTTCAAAATAATGCTTTCTTTTTCTTTTTCGTGTTTACATAAAGTTTTCATTGAATATCACAACAGGCGTGATTAGGCTACGTTAATAAACGTCCTTAGAAACACTTTTAGCCCGAAATAAACGGTTTCGCGCTAATCCTACGGTATTCATCGATTAATAGTAAAATATAATTGTACTTGTGTGTGACGCTACTATCAATAGAGAAAATATCTAAATCATATTATATAAATAAGCTTACTACACAATATTACAACTATCAAGATCATAGAAATACATATTATATACATACATGTGGATACTTCTTCGGTAAAAACGCTAACGCAACCTCGTATGAAAAAATGACCGTCGCTTAGTCTTTCGAATAAACAAAAAAAATGCTTCCACAAAACGTTGAACTCAATAATTTTATACTTTTCACGCGTACCAAAATATTCTATCCTCTTCTTTATTAATAGATTATTTAGATATTTATATTATATATACCAATAGTTCCTTCATTGTTATACGTCTTTTTCAACAGTATTCTAAGAAACCTGCAAATCCTATCACTTTACGTACTAGCAACAGATGGGTACACAATTGTTTAAAATCGAAAATAAATACACATACTGCATCAGCAAATTCAACACGCTCGTGAATAGCATTATCACTTAACGTTATCGTAATATATAATTAAACATTAAGCGATTAGCTCGTACGTTTGTCATTTCGCTGTAATATTGCATAACTTTAGAACTTAATCGAATTGTATCGTAAAAAAAACGTACCCATCTACTTCCTACACTTTATACGGTTTTCTCTCTTACTTACTATCCTTATAAATTTTACAATCTTCTAAAATTATACGACAATCTCTCAAAAATATATCGTAGCAGAATTAATTCGCATATCTTGCTCTTTTCCTCCATTGCTTAACTTCTATTTGCCTTCCGACCCATATATCCGCTACTATTCGTTCAAAACGTTATTCACGGTATTTATAGCTCTTACTCAATTCTCTCTCTCTCTCTCTAAAAAAAGAATGTCCTTTAAAGCGATTAGTCTTCTAAAAGGATCTAGAATTACGCTTTTGCGAAGGCATAAGACATACATTATAGCTGGAAAGTCGATTCGCAGCAGGATTAGAAAAAGACGGAATGTTACACGGTCGGTTCAACAATATAACGGGTGAACGTTTCGCGGCCAGGTTAATCTACCTGCACATCAGTCGCTGCGATCTCGTTCTTGTACTTAACTCATTGTCGTGAGACTAGCTCCATTGTTCAGTTGCGAAGATACTTTTCTCTCGCTCTCTCTTGTTTCTCTAAGCGCATTTGTGTATGTGTGTTGTTTGTGTGTATAATAATATATATATATATACATATATATATATATATTAAATATCGAATTTTTTTAAAGGCAAGCATGTATCAGCACCGCAATCCAACGGTGCATGTATGTACGAGTGTTGAAATAAAAGGAAGTCATTTACGCGATAATCGCTACATACGAAATTACAGCAATTTTCTTTCCGCGTATATGTATTTTTTTGTTCTTTTTTTCTGTGTAATTCTTTTTTTTTCTTTTTTAATCCTTTTTCCATTTTCGGGACTGTGTCGTCTACTGGGTTATATTATTATATTACTATTACGGGAATTAGGAATTAACGTTTAGAGGCGGCGGTGGCGAACATGCAATCGGATCTTCACGTAATTTTATGGAGGATCAGCAACAGTAGAAGCGGAATGACGAGCGTCAATAAGCTCGACTGAAACGCAACAGACGTGGCACCGCCATACTGCACCTCCACCTTCAATAACAACGGAGTATTGTTGTCATTATGCATGCCCGTCGATATGTCTGTTTTCTTCGGCGGTATGATTAGATTCTCGTCGTGATCTATGTCCGAGTCGTCTGTCTGGTGCCGGTGTGTTGTCCGGCTCGAGTCTTGCTTCATTGTTGTCGGCACCGTCATCGTTGTCATCAACGTTGTGGTCGATGGTTCGGTGGTTGTAGTAGGCGGTGGCACGGTAGTTGGTACCAAGCTGAAATTGCTTAGGAAGTAAATGGGTCCGAATTCCGGTGTGATGTCAAACAATGTTTCCTCCTGTCGAGTGCCGCTGATCATGCGCGATGTCGTCGTACTATCCTCGTAATGCGAAATCAAGTTTGCGGAGTATGGTACCTCCATGTCCGTATAGTTTGCCTTCAGAGTCACGTTTACGCCCGTACCAGGTTGCAGATAGATCAGCACGCTGTAAAAGAAAATATGTCAAGATTTAGAAATCGATCTCTATAATATAAATCGTACGTGTATCTTTTTTTAACAATAAATAATGAATCGCGCTTTCTATAAAAAGTTTCATACCTAAAAAAATTTAATTGGTAATTTAGTTTCATTATTCAGGTGAGATATATATTTATAATTTATGTAAGGACACGTTTAGGATTACCAAGGACCTTGAGGACTGAACATGTTAACATAACACTGGATTGTACTGCAACTGGAACGCGGGTCCGATGTATGATCGTAATTGTGTTGCGTTGAAGCATCATTTAAGTTGAAAGCACGACAGAGTATTCTAGGGCACACTGAGCGGGAAGGGTGGTACGAAGTTGTCGTGCAAAGTGCACTCCAGGCTCATCTCCGCCGCGCGCGAGCTTCAATGATGCACAGGAAGCGATGAAGTGTCTC